ACCGTTGAAATTCCTCGTGACTAATTAATCACTTGTGTCGGCAAATAAACTTTTACATATCTATTGTGGATGCAGAACTGAACAGAGAACCTCCTTGGATTCTCTTTAATAGGCTATAATATCTTTCTCTCTCCGATACACCTCTATAATGGGCGGACCCACATAGGTCATGTGGCCGCACAAAATTTGTGGTTTTTTTTTCTCCAATAAATCTATAATTGTTTTGAATCCTTTACACTATACAACTTTTATCAAATTTATATATTATGTGAAAAACCTGTAATTGTCATCTACGGCCTACTTCCACGCACTCATTAAAGGATACTAAATGAAGTCGAAATATTGCATTCTTAATATCATTTCAACGTGCTCACAGCCTTTTTTTTTTTGCTCGTTAATGGCGTGCGAAATGGCTAACCGTAGCAAAATTTACGGTGCATCAAAATAGACAATTTTAAACTAGTATTTCGAGAATTTTGATAATATGTTAGCTATAAAAATTCATGGGCGATCGTAAGCTGACTGAATCTACAAATCCTATCTAGAAGTTCGTTTCGAGAATTACATCATAATCATATTGAATGATCCAAACGGATATAAAAAATATTTAAACATATGTCAAACGTACATCTCAGGAAGAGGCATATAACTCGTATTTTCTTTAAAAAAAATTAAATTATTTCATTAACTTTTATAATTTTTGCATGTAAATTGCTCAATATAATTTACACAATTTTATTAGGAATTTTTACATGAAATATTACATTTGCATTAAATTTAAATTTTATTTCAATTCATTTACTTCCTACATTCAATTTGATTTACTCATTGTCAACTTAACATCTGTCAACGATATCAGTAAACAAAATTATACCAGTAGAAAAATTTATTGAAATTATACGATGTTTTCAAATATCAAAATGTGTATTAACTTATTTTCATTAATATTATATTGTTTTTTTTTAAAAAAAATGTATTTTAATTTTTAACCCACAACCCAAAAAGTCTGAATCCGCTCCTGACTTGTATCATATAACTGAATTTAAGGTGAGCGTGGCTTCAATGCATGCTTGAAGAACTTCAGCAAGCAACTTGGCTAGATGTTGCCAAACTCTCTTATTTGGTTGTGATGAGTTCTCATGCACTGCTTTAGTTCGACGTTGAAAAAAAAAATGCTTAAAGCATCCTTTTTTTTTTTTTGAGAATTTTGTGTCTATTTTGAGTGAGACTGGCCCATCAAGCAAATTCATTGACTTTGCCCATGACATATGACCTATTTTGATCCAATTCCATCGTTTAGAGCTCCCAAAACGTAACTTTCATTATTTTGGATATTATAGGATTTTAAGTTTGCTTAGAGTTACTTGTTATATTACCATTATCTATAGTTAGTCGTTATTTAGAAGTTTCATTAATATCAAGATTTTATTTACAGCTTTAAATAGGAGTTATAAACCTCATAACAATAAGTTGAATTTTCAATTAAATAAAAAGTCTTGAAAAGTTTCTCAAAATTATGCTCTCTTTATATTTGATACTTCAAATCTACAAATTAGGTCTATTGTGAAATTTTATTCTTTTATATAAGCTTTCGTTACATTGAGGTGGCTCAACGATTCACCAATCTATGGCTCATTTTGAGTTGTTTGTTTGAGCCCTTTTTTATAAATTTCGTTAAAAAATTCAACATAACTCTAATATTGTCTTCTATAAAAATATTAGTACACGAGAGGACGACATTCCAACTTTACAGGAAGCTTAATAAAACTTTTTTTTTTTTTAAAGCATTTTGTTGAAACTATTACTCCCATCACAAACACCCATACCAAAATATTAATGGGATCTAATATTCTCATCGTAACATATTCTCATCCATGGTCCTTGATAGCGATAAAAATTGATATTTCAAAGACAATTAATGGAATTTATAGTGACTTGTAATGAATTAAGAACCATTTGGTCATATCTATACAAAATAGTTCAGACTCGTCATCAATGATCAAACCCTTAAATCCAACTTTAGATTTTCAAAACAACCTTGTCAAGTCCGCAAATGTCCCGTCCGGGCCCCCACCATAACATGTCCCATCCGCGCCCCCACTGTAACCTGTCCCGTTTGATTTTTATTTCGTTAGGTTCGACT